CGTGGCCACCACCCACCAGGGGTGATTTCTCGCTTTCTATCTCTCTGTCTCTCTGGCGAGCACATGCACCCTATAGCAAAAGTCTCTTAAAAACAAAGTTATCTTTGAGTCCTACCTCTGCTCATCAGCCTTCGATGGCTCCCTGTTGTCCACTGAATAAACCCTGAGTCCCTAGCCTCCTCCAGTGCCCTCCACAGGTTATCTCCCAGACTGCTTTCTCCCCGCCCTCATGTTCCTGCGCTCAGCTAGCTCCCTGGAGCTCAGGACAGACGTGCTGTCGGCCTAGGTACGGCTGCTTAAATTCCCCAGGAAGCAGTCCATGGCCTTGCATCTGTGTCACGGACAAGCAATCTTAGCGAGGTCAATTTCACTAGATTTTAAGGCTTGAGAGCCTAATCCCCTGTTTTTGTCATCCTTGTTTTTGTTTGTTTGTTTCTTTTCCTTCACAATGGGGTACCTGCACCCTCTGGGGAGAGAGAGAGAGAGAGAGAGGGAAAGCGAGAAGCACTCCCAGGAGGGACGGCCACACCGCAATCCCTTCTTCCCCACTCTGCTCTCAGGATTTTGGGCACGCACGCGCCCAGAGTGACTCTCAAGCTGCTAGGTCTAGGAGTGGAGCAACACAGTCGGCCACGTGGGGTCCGCCCCGGCCAGGGAGCTGGCCGTGGGATAATCCTATGTGTGTGCTGTTCTGCCCGCCAGCACTCTGAGATGCCACCCACGTAGCCCTAGGTGGGGGTCCGGCCCTCAAGATTTCTGGCAGAGGCTGTCTAGACCGAGGTGGCCTGATGACCTCTGAATGCCCTGGGAGCACGGTTTCCCTTTCTGAAGAACAGCCTGTCTTGGCAGCTGAGTACCTGTCTGCCCTGCCCGAGGAGTCCTCTTGGCAGCTGAGTACCTGTCTGCCCTGCCCTAGGAGTCTCCCCTTCCCCACTCCCTTCCTGTGTGCACTGCCTTAGGGGTCTCCCCTTCCCCACTCCCTCCCCTGTGTGCACTGCCCTAGGAGTCTCCCCTTCCCCGCTCCCTCCCCTGTGTGCACTGCCCTAGGAGTCCCCCCTTCCCCGCTCCCTCCCCTGTCTGCCCTGCCCTAGGAGTCTCCCCTTCCCCACTCCCTTCCCTGTGTGCACTGCCCTAGGGGTCTCCCCTTCCCCACTCCCTCCCCTGTGTGCACTGCCCTAGGAGTCTCCCCTTCCCCACCCCCTCCCCTGTCTGCCCTGCCCTAGGAGTCCCCCCTTCCCTGCTCCCTCCCCTGTCTGCCCTGGCAGTGTCTCCCCTTAGGTAATCCCTGAGCATCACAGAGGGCAGTCCAGCCACACCCTTGGCATGCTCTGAAGAACATGCTTTCTCAGTTTTTGCAATATGGGTGAGCCGAGAATTTTCCAAGTCTTTAATTTCGAGTTCCTCCTTGTTTAAAAATTCCTACTTCAGCTGATGGCTGGCATTCTCCTGCAGGCAGCGGGGAGGGGCTAAACCGTCCCTTCGATGTTTGCTCCACAACCTCCTGAGCGGGTACCCAGTGCTCGGCTCCCAAGTTCCATCTCCCACGAAGCAGTAGGACACGGTTCAGTCAGTTCTTGGCCACTGTGACAAGGCCCACCTTCCCCGGTCTCCAGTGCATGTGTCTCACTTCCCTCTGATGCCGCCCGGAGGGACCACGTTCTACCAGCCGGGCGTCCACAGTCGTCCAGGACTTGTCCAGCTTCACTCGCGACTCGTCCTCACCCCTGCTCCTTACACAGCTCCAAGCCTCCTCCGCACCTGGGTACTGGCTACAGTGCGCTCTACTCAGCACCAGCGTGTGTCTTAATCAGGGTCGGAGGCCATGACGGATACACACACTGGGCAGGTAGACAACAGAGGAGTGCTCTCATAGTTCTGGGGCCTGGAAGTCGGGGCTCAGGGTGCCAGCATGGCTGGGCCTGGTGAGGGCTCTTTTCTGGACTTGCAGAGAGCTGCCCCCTAGTTCTATTCTCTCTTCCTCTTCTTACAAAGACATCAATCCTATCAAATGTGGACCTTCCTCTTACAAACCCACACCTTCACCTCTGGAAAGCCTTATCTCAAATATAGACATAGGGAACCAGCAGTTAGCGTAATGGCTATGTCGCTGGACTCCCACGTAGTCGACTGCGGTTCGTGTCCCAGACCCGGTGGCTTAAAACGCACGCCGGGCGCGTGTGCGTGCATGTCCAAGATCCCGAGGGGAGAATGGAGGAGCAGGGATTGCGGCGTGACCATCCCCCCTGGGGGGGATTTCTTGCTTTCTGTCTCTATGTCTCTCTCTGTCTGTCTGGAGAACACATGAGCCCTACAGTGAAAATCTCTCCAAAAAAAAAAAAAATATAGAGACATATTGGGTATTAGAATTTCAACATATAATGTGGGGGGGGGACACAATTCAGTCCAAAGCATGTGTGTGTGTGTATATATAATTTTATTTCATTCATTGTCATCATTATTATTATTATTAATTATTATGTTGACCAGAGAGAGAGAAAGTAATTGAGAAAGCAAGCTGCCAGGTCCGGGACTCGAACCGTGGTCAGTCATATGGGAGTCAGGCTGTCCTAACCACCACGCCACCTGCTGGCCCCTCAAAGCACATATTTCAATCCCTCCCAGCCCTAGTGCAGTATCCTGTGCAATATTCTGTAAAATGCACGGCATGTTGAAATAAATGGAGTTCCAGTGCCTCCAAGGAGTTTTTATAACCTGTGCTGACCCTGCTGGTGGGAGCGCTGTCTCACAGCTACTGGGAGAGCAAGAAGGGTACACAGGTGTTTTGGGGATGGGACTGATGGCACAGTGGTAATGCGCTGCTCACCATGATGTGAGGCCCCTGGGAAGGTCGTGGGTTCATGGCCCCAGGACTCCTTGGTACGCACAGGCATAGGTGTGCCCGTGATCCTCGCCGGCTGAGGCAGGAAGTGGGTTGCAGTGTGAAGACCCTGTTGGAGCGCCTGTCTCTCTCACGAACCAAATAACTAAATAAATTTAAATTAAAAAAAAAGGACCAGCTTCACTGGGTAAGAATGTTATGAGGCTGCTGTTCATAACAAGAGGAATTCTAGCTAGTTTTTAATGCTAAGAACTATAATTCTGAGTGTTCAGATTTGTTAAAAAGATAATTCAAGGGAACTTTAAAAACTTTGTAGAAAAATGGAATTAAATTATAAGTTTATTTTGGTGCAAAAATGTCCATGCATAATTTTTCGTAGTACACATTTTCCGTGAACTCCTTGAAGGCGCTCATAAATAAGGACAGTGAAGTGGGTCGATGGGCGGACTGCGGCTGGAACTCACTGGCCAAGCCCCCGGTAAGGCAGCAGGCGTGGGTGTGTCCATGTGGCTTCTCTCCCTGTCTTCACGCTCCCATTCACGTTTTTCTATTTTTTCCTCCCCTCCTAACTTTAACATATAAAATCTTACTATAGTTTTGGTGCCTCTTAAGCTTCCAGAATTCCAGGAATCTTTTCAGAATCTGATAAGATATAAATACATTTTAAAAATAAATAAAACAGGGGCCAGCGGTTGGCATAATGGCTATGTCGCTGTACTCCCATGTAGCTGACCGCAGTTCGAGTCCTGGACCCGGTGGATTACACTCACGCTGGGCGCGTGTGTGTGCGTGCCCAAGATCCCGAGCGGAGAATGGAGGAGAAGGGATTGCGGCGTGACCATCCCCCCTGGGGGGTGATTTCTCACTTTCTGTCTCTATGTCTCTCTCTGTCTGTCTGGCGAGCGCACGCGCCCTACAGTGAAAATCTCTCCCCCCCCAAAAAATAAATAAATAAATAAATAAAAATAAAAAAACGATCTTTAGAGGAGAATGGAGGAGAAGGGATTGCGGCGTGACCATCCCCCCTGGGGGGTGATTTCTCACTTTCTGTCTCTATGTCTCTCTCTGTCTGTCTGGCGAGCGCACGCGCCCTACAGTGAAAATCTCTCCCCCCCCAAAAAATAAATAAATAAATAAATAAAAATAAAAAAACGATCTTTAGAGGAGAATGGAGGAGAAGGGATTGCGGCGTGGCTATACCCCCTGGGGGGTGATTTCTTGCTTTCTGTCTCTCTCTCTGTGTCTTTCTGGTGAGTGTACGTGCCCTATAGCAAAAACCTTGTCAAAAATAAAGAAAGAAAGAAAGAAAATAGCTTATGCACTCACTGAAAAGGACCAACAGTTCAGATGCCAAAGTCCAAGAAGCGCGAGGAGCTCACAGCCGAGCCCGCTGTGGGTACAAACACATCTCTACCTATCTATGAGTGCTGAACTAACCCTCACGATAAAAGTTAAACAGCGCTGTCAAGGTCCCCATGGCAGATGAGAAAACAGAGGCTCATGGAGATGAAGTAACATGTCCAGCTTCTGAGCTGGTGGAGCTGGAGTTCAATCCTGGCCCGTTTGATGTTCACTTCAAATTCCTTCCACATCGTCCCCCTTCCTCCAAGATGGAGGATAGATATTCCGGAAGTCCAGTCCTGCGATGGGGTCAGGAAAGGCATGGTCCATGAGTGAGATGGGGTAGTTCTGTCCTGCGGCCGGGGGCAGGTTCCCTGCTGCAGGCGCCCAGGGCCAGGGGCCAGCCTCAGGTGAGAGGCAGCTGCAGGAGCCAGTTGCACTGCGGCGGGGTATCTGGGCACCAGCTGGCCAGGTCAGAGGAGAGCTGGGAGGACTGAGTCTGAGTCAGAAACCGTGTTTGAATCCTGGGCGTTAAGAAAGAAAGGACGGATGAAGCTAAGGGGTCCCACAGCCTCCCCAGAAGAACCCCCAGCAGGTTGACACATCTGCGAGTGGCTTTGGGTCCCCACTCTGGGCACGGCAGGGCCGGACTGTGGGGCTCAGTAAGCGTTAACTGCATGTCCGATGTGCAGTGGGCGTTGGAGGAACTGAGCAATTAGCCCACGTACTGACTTCGGGGACCTCCTGTTCCATGACAGCAGCTGAGTCCAAAAGGGAATCTCGGATCCTGGGAGGACTCACGTTCAGCCCTCTCTTCCAGGGCCATGTTCTGCAATGATCTGAAGGAGAAATACGAGAAGAGGATCATCATTAAAGGGGTCGATGCCGAGACCATGCACACGCTCCTGGATTACACGTACACCAGCAAGGCGCTCATCACCAAGCAGAACGTCCAGCGGCTCCTGGAGGCTGCTAACCTCTTCCAGGTGAGTGGGCAAGGGCCCGCGCTCCCCTCCGGAGCAAGCAGAGGCGGCCGTTCCCGAGGCCTGCCTCGACTGACTCCCACACCTGTGCACACACACGCACACGCAAACAGCTGGTCTTGTGCATACGTGCAAGTCGGAAGATGCTCATGTGAAAATTCCGGGTGTGGAGCTTGGTGCTGGGGCCTGCGCCTGGTTCCTGACCGGAACCGTGAATGACTGCAGAAGCCTAGTGGGGCCAGGGGCTGCGTCAGCACTCCCTACATGTAACTTAGCACGACCTGGAGAGGACGTTACTTCCCCGTCCTATGGGTGGGGACAGAAAGGCGCATAGAGGACAACTGGCAAGGTCGTGATCCAACCCTGGGCTTCCCAGGTCCGGGGTCCTTACGCTGGCCACCATGCAGCCTCGGGTGGCCGTGTCTAAGTTCTGGCGTAAGCATACTCCTGTGGTGGCTGTGAAAGAGCAGCAGTGGGAAGGAAGGGGACTTCTAGAAGTTAGGGTAGAGAACCCACAGAATTAAGTTTAAAACAGCATTTATTTTTACTCAGCAATATTTGCTTCGACCTGATTACTACAATTGCACTTAGCGCTCTAAAAATAATTAGACCCATCGACTATGTCATTTGTGCCCAGAACTATGTCAATGGCCCCATCCCAAGTTGCCTCTGGGCCTAGTCTCAGCTTACCCCACCAAACCTGATCCCACTGGGTGGAGGGAGGCGTCTCATTGCCTGGATGGTGAGACGCAGGAGGAGTAGAGACCAGGGACAAGCCAGGTAATTGTCATCGGATCTTGTCCACGGCATGGCACTTTGGGAGGTGGTGTCTACTTCGGTCGGGGGGCTGTCTTTGTGGTGGCTGGAGTCTGGGCAGGACCCATGGTGTCCCGCCGAGAAGGAAGAGTGGACAGAGGAAGGAAACCAGCTCTGATTTATCAGCTCTGATCAATTCTCAGACAGGTCACTATAATTTTCGCCAGCTTCATTGGCTCCATTCCTGCAGGGCGTTCACAGGTGCCACAATTTCAGCAGGGCGGGTGGGCTTTCCCTGGTGATGTCTCCAAGCCAGTCAACACCCCACGCCCACGCTGCCGGCCCTCACCTGGAAAGCTCAGCCTCACTGACTGGCAGGAGAAGGAGGGCTTGGCGGCGTGGCCAGCACCCCACCGCACCCTCCTGCTCACAGCTGCAGCAGTCCAGCTTCGGGGTCCTTCCCATCGCAGAATCGCCTCGTTCACCATTCAGTGAAGCCACCGCAGCCAATGTGATTTCCACGTTCACCGTCGCTGGGGCCCAGAGAGGTGAACAAGCAACACTGACAATAACCATCTGAATAGCGGTCATTGCTGCCGGCATGGTAGATGCCCACTGGGTGTAGATTTCACTGAGCGGCCGTTCCCTGCTTCGACACCAGGCTGGGGCGAGTAGCCAGCCCTCCTGTCTTCACCTCTAGCTAAAAGCAGCCTTCTACGATGGGCTAAGATCGATCTTGTTTTTCCAAAGTGTAGGTTTTAGTATTTTTAATTGTAGTATTACAAACTCAATACAGAAATATTAGAAACCCAGACAAGCATGAAGAGTGTAAAAAGGATCTACGATGCTCTCCTATTCAGACCACGTGGCAACTTCCTTGGTATGCATGTCCAAATCCACACACCGGCACGGACAGATGCAGCTAGCAGGGTGGTCAGCAGCACGCCTTCGTAGCCAGAGAGCCTGGGTTTAAATCCCTGCTCCACTAGTTACAGTTGTGTGACTTTGGGTGCGTTTTATAATTTCTTTGTGCTCCAGTGTCCCCCTCCCTTTTTTTTTTTTAAATAAGTATGATAACAGCCTATTATAAAAAAAGTTATAATATTTATAAAATATTTAGGACAGTATCTGATATGCAATAAATACTATCTAAGAGGGTCTTAAAAAGCCATGGAAAATATATTTTATGAAAATCTATGTATGGATTTCAAAATTTTGCACCAAAATTAACTCATAGTTTAATTCCATTTTCCATAAAGTTTTTGAAATTTCTGCATATACATGCTTATAGCATTATTACTTATTACATACACTTCACATATTTTAGAAGAACGGTATCCTATTAGACATTGTTTTTTATTTTACTTAGATTATAATCATCTTTTCCTGTCAGATGCATTTCTTTCTTTCTTTCTTTTTTTTTTTTTTGCAGTTTACTATAGGGTGCATGTGCTCACCAGAGAGAGACAGAAAGGGGAGGGGGACTGAGAAATCTCCTAGGGAGGATGGCCACACCACAGTCCTTTCTCCTCCTTTTTTCCTCTTGGGATTTTGGGCATGGACACACATGTGCCTAAGATTTGAACCACACAGTAAGCTATGTGGGATCCATGGGACCAGCAGTTAGCGTAATGGCTATATCGCTGGACTCCCAGGTAGTCGACTGCGGTTTGAGTCCCGGACCCAGTGGCTTAAACTCATGCCGGGCGCGTGTGCGTGCATGCCCAAGATCTCAAGAAGAGAATGGAGGAGAAGGGATTGCGGCGTGGCCATCCCCCCTGGGGGGTGATTTCTTGCTTTCTATCTCTTTGTCTCTCTCTGTCTTTCTGGCGAGCGCACGCGCCCTATAGCAAAAACCTCTCCAGAAAAAAAAAAAAGCTATGTGGGATCCAGCAGCCTGAACCTCCACGCCACCTACTCGCCTGTTCATTTCTGTAATGACACTTCTAATAATTGAATGGAATTTAATGATACAATAAATCGGCAAGTCAATCCTTGTAGCTGAAAGCTAGAAAGTCGTTCCATCTACCTGACTATTTAAAACAATGTTGTCATAAACATTCTTTATCTCTCTCTCTCTCTCTTTTTTTTTTAAGAGAGATTTTTGCTATAGGGTGTGTGCACTTACCAGAGAGACAGAGACAGAGAAAGTGAGAAATCACCTTCTGGGAAGACGGCCATGCCTCAATTCCTTCTCCTCCATTCTCTCTTGGGGTTTTGGACATGCACACATACGTGTCCTGTATGAGTTTCAAGCTTTTGAGTCTGGGACTTGAACTGCAGTCAACCACGTGGGAGTCTAGTACCTTAACCACTATGCCACCTGCTGGCCCCCATTCTTTGTAATTCTATTAGGACATTCATCTCATCCATATAAAATAAAAGGAGAAGGAATGTTTATGACAGAACCTGGGGTTTATGACACGAATATCTGTTTTTCTGGGGAACACCAATCTGCAAGAGGATTTCGTCAAATACTCTTGAGTATTTGACCCTTGGCTGTCCAGTCATGCGTAAAATGGAGACACTGATAGATGAGCTCGAGTATCAGAATCCCGGTGTACCCAGACTAGCGCGGGATGCTAGCGGGCAGGAGAGTTTCCCAGGGCTGTCAAGTGGCTTGCCAGTTACTTTTTTTTTTTTTTTTTTTTTGGAGGC